ATTTTGTATAAAAGGGGTAAGAGAAAAATAAGAGCTGTAAGAGGAAAAGATAGTCAGGCTGTGGTGGCTCACACCTTTAATGTCAGCACTGTGGGAGGCAGAGGCAGGTGAATCTCTGTGAGTTCAAGGCCAGCCTGGTCTACAGAGTGAGTAGAACACCAGCAGAGAGAAAAATAAAAGGATTAGGTTTTGGCCTCAGGAAAAGTCTCCTGCGTGTGAATGCAGTTCCATGTTGCCACACCGCCTTTCCAGTTTTTGTGGAAACTAGCCTTTTGTCGGAAAGCTGGCCTTTCAGCAACACCTAGCATCCAGTGAGATAGACCCACGGCATCCAGTGAAATAGAAACAGTAATTAAAAATCTCCCAACTATCACAGACATGCATGCAGGCAAAATACACATAAAAAATAAAATGAGTGAATCTAATAAATTATAAGAAGAAACCAACTATAAAAACCCGAGGGCCAGATGGATTCAGTGCAGAATTTTACTCTACCTTCAAAAACAGAAAAACTCCTCAATCAAATCCTTTTTATGAAGCCAGTTTTATCCTCATACTAGCACCAAAGACCCAACAAAAAAAGAGAAAATCATAGACCAATCTCCTGATGAAAAACAGATGCAGGGATTCTCAATAAAATATTTACAAATCGAATCAAAGAACACATCAATGGGGGTTGGAGAGATGGCTCAGAGGTTAAGAGCACTGTCTGCTCTTCCAGAGGTCCTGAGTTCAATTCCCAGCAACCACATGGTGGCTCACAACCATCCATTATGAGATCTGGTGCCCTGGTGTGCAGATATACATGGAAGCAGAATGTTGAATACATAATAAGTAAATAAAAAAATCTTTAAAAAAAAAAAACACATCAAAAAGTTTACCCACCATGATCAAGTCACCTTCATTCCAGAGATGCAGGGATTGAGCAACATATGTAAATCAATAAACAAAATCCACCACCTAAGTAGATGGATCATCTCATTAAACACAGAAAAGATCTTTGACAAAATCCAACAGCCATTCATGATTAAAGTCCTGAAGAAAATAGGGATACAGGGGACTTAACAATGCAATACACAGGAAGCCAACAGCATCCTAAACAGAGGAAAACTCAAAGCATTTCCATTAAAACCAGGAACGGACAGAATGTCCACTCTGCACCCTCCTGTTTAACACAATGCTTGAAGTCTTAGCTAGAGAGTAAGACAAGTGAAGGAGACTAAGAGGGTACAAGGGAGGAAGAAGCCAGAGCATGGATCTTTATTTGCAGACGATTCGATTCTATACATTAAAGACGCCACCAGAACACTACAGCTGACACATTCAGCAAAGTAGCAAAGTACAGAACACTCAAAAACTAGTGGCCTTCCTATATACAAATGGCAAACACACCAAGATAGAGGTCAAGGGAATGACCCCATTCATAATGGCCTCAAAACTATCTTGGAATAAATCTGAGGAAGTGAAAGACATGTACAATGAAAACTTTAAGGCACTGAAAAAAAACAAAAGAAATTGGATAAGATACTAGAGGACGAAATACCTTCCATGGTTTATGGATCAGTAGGATTAATACTATAAAAATGGCCACCCTACTAAAAGCAATCTACAAACTCAACACAATCCCCATTAAAATTTCAATGCAGTTCACAAAAACTGAAAAAAAATCTTAAATTTCATATGCAAACACAAAAACTCAGGATATCCAGGACAATCCTAAACAACAAAAAAATTTGAGGTACCACCATCCCAGATTTCAAGCTACATTATAGAGTTATGGTACTAAAAACAGACTCATCAATCAATGGAATAGAATTAAGGACACATATTAACCTACACATCCACAGCCATCTGACTTTTGACAAAGATACCAAAAATATACACTGGATAAAAGACAGCATTTTCAAAAAAGAAAAAGAAAATTGGATAGCTACATGTAGAATAAAACTTCATTCTTATCTCTCACCCTACGCAAAATTCAACTTCAGGTACATCAAGGACCCCAACATAAGATCTGATACCCTGAATCTGAGAGAGAAAATAGGAAGGACTCTTGAGCTCATACACACAGGGAGGAATTTTCTGAATAGGACCCCAGTAGCACAAGCATTGAGATCAACAATTAATAAACAGGACCTCATGAAATTAAAAGGTTTCTATACATCAAAGGACAGTTTACAAAATGGGGTGGGGTCCAGGCATTGGTGGCGCACGCCTTTAATCCCAGCACTCGGGAGGCAGAGGCAGGTGGATCTCTGTGAGTTCGAGGCCAGCCTGGTCTACAGAGCGAGTGCCAGGATAGGCTCTAAAGCTACCCAGAGAAACCCCGTCTCGGAAACAAAAAAAAAAATGTGGTGGGGAATCTTTACCAGATTTACATCTGACTGTGGGTTAGGAGCTGGGCATACAAAGAACTCAGAAAAAACTAAACATTGAGAAAAAAATTAAAAATGCGACATGGAACTAATTAGGCTGTCTCAGTTAGGGTTACTATTGCTGCAATGAAGCACCATGACCAAAAGCAACCTGTGGAGGAAAGGGTTTCTTTTGCTTACACTTCGACTTGGCTGTTCACCACTGGAGGAAGTCAGGACAGGAACTCAAACAGGGCAGGAACCTGGAGGCAGGAGCTGATTCAGAGGCCATGGAGCGATGCTGCTTACTGGCTTGCTCCTCAAGATTTGCTCAGCCTGCTTCCTTACAGAACCACCAGCCCAGGGATGGCACTGCCCACAATGGGCTGGGCTCTGGCCTACTGATCACTAATTAAGAAAATGCCTTACAGCCGGATCTTATGGAGACATTCTCCTCGATTGAGGCTCATTCCTTTTTGATGACTCTAGCTTGTGTCAAGGTGACATAATAGTAGCCAGCACACCGAGAAACATTTTTTTTTTAAAAAATTTTCAACATCCTTAACTATCAGGGAAATGCAAATTAGAACTACTTCAAGACTTCATTTTACTGTTGTGAAATAATATTTTTGTACACTGTGAAGATGTGTCTCCGCTAAGGTTTAATAAAGAGCTGAAGGGCCAATAGTTAGGCAGGAGAGGATAAGCGGGACTTCTGGGAAGAGATAGAAACTCTGGGAAGAGAAGCGGCATTTGTCAGTGAGATGGAGCAAGTCAGATGTACAGTATGGAGGAGAGGTAATGAGCCATGTGTCAGAACATAGATTAATATAAATGGGTTAATTTAAATTATAAGAGCTAGCTGGGAACAAGCCTAACCCAAGGCCAAGCTTCTATAATTAATAAGAAATCTCTGTGTCATTATTTGGGAGCTGGCAGTCCAAAGAAAGTCTGACTACATCTTACCCTAGTCAGATGGCTAAGACAAACAAAAAACAAACAATGACAAATGCCAGCATGCATGTGGGGAAAGGAAACACTTATTCACTGCTGTTTAGAGTACAAATTGGTGCAGCCATGATGGAAATCACTGTGGAAACCCCTCAAAAAACTAAGAGTGATCACACGCTCCAGCTATACCAATCTTGGGCATATAACCAAAGGACTGTATTTCCTACTGTGGAGATTCATACTCATACATATTCATTGCTGCTCTGTGCACAATAGCTAGGGAATGAAAACCTGTTGTCTGTCCACTGAGGAATGGATAATGAAGATGGAGTATATTTACACAATAGAATATCACTCAACTGTCAAGAAAATGAGTGATGGACTTCACAGGTAATTGCATGGCGCTAGACCCAATCATTCTGAAGTAACCTAGACCCAGAAAGACAAACACCAAGATTCCTCTCATTTCTGAGAGTTAGCTTTAAACTTGCAGGTATGTGTGTTTCATTTGGAATTACTCACAGAGGTCAGGAAATTATTACAGGGCCACAGGGAGATGTTTTCAAAGAACGGAAGATAGATAAAGGGTGAAAGGGGTATAATGGGGCAGGAGGGCTAAATTGGCGTGAGGAAAGGGAGGGCAGAGTAAAGGAGGGCATAGAGGCAGGGATAAATAACCTTAAAAGATGCTGGGCAAAGGCATGGGTGTAATCTCCACTTTCTGGCCGGATCTAAGTCTCACGCTACACATTGAAAGCCAATACCTGTACCATTATTGGGCCAAGGCTCAATGGCGAGATACATCATTGGTCCTACAGGAGAACCACCACTATTATTCTAAATGTACATGGTATTAAACGAACTCCTAATGACTTATCTATCGCATCTCTCAACCTTCATCAGAGTAGCTTCTATTGGCAGTAAATGACTGACACAGAGACAGACTCACCACTGGTCAAGGTGCCCAGCGTAAGCGTCTGCCCAGCTCTAAATGGAACATAAATACCTCACCTTCTCCTCCCATGGCTCAAGGCTCGTAGCAGAAGAGGAAGGAGGAAGAGTGTAAGAGGCAGGGGTGCAGGACAAGGAAACAGAGTTCTGGACATAGCAGAGCAGCTGCGCATGTGAACTCAGAGCAGTTGGGACGCAGATCTGCGCAAGCCCAAGACAAACCAATCCCACCAGGAAGAGTCAGGTATCAAGTCCCACCCTAGCTAAGAAGCTACTGGCAATTATTAGCTACTGGGAGAGTGTGTTTTTGCTTCGTGTAGCCCTTGGTAAGTTGATCCCATTCCAGTGGCAGACCACACATCCAAGAATATTTGGGATTCACAAATTGGTCTTGACTTTTTTTTTTTTAAGGGATGCAGATTTGGATGGGTAGGAAGGTGGGGAATGATCTAATGACTGGGGTTGGGATGTGTGTGTAAATATGATCAAAACACATTGTACGAAAAACCTAAAAACAAAACAAAAAACCCTATGCTTCCGAAGCTCTTTGCAAAGGCCTCTGAGACGGCTGCGCAGACAGGCAGCTCCTCTTTTCTAGCTGCTGCCAGAGTCCCTGGGAGAATGTTGGGGGAGGCAGCTAGGCCCGGAGGTCTCAGTGTCCCTTGCCCTCTTCCAAGCTGTGGGGCTTTGGCTTCAAGAAGGTCTCCTGCCAGTCAGTACCCCACTCCTCGACCACCTGCTCACCTGAGAAAGAGGAAAATGGGTCTCGGCGGCTCCATGTCCTGGGCTTCAGGGACCCTGGGTTCCAAGTGCGGTCCAAGCAGTTCCAGCAGCCCCGGGTGCAGCTTCTCCGCTTCGTCAAAGATGAACATGCTCTGGTGGCAGCGCCGCCACGTCTCCTGCATCTGCCACCGCAACTCCTCCTGCACAGGACACAGGGAGCTGCAACCTCGGAGGGTGGGCTCCTTCTTCCTCAGCGCAGGTGCAGTGGAGCACCGAGGCTGGGCTCCACCCACCACAACTACCAAACCCAAGGCTTGGCTTCCGCCCCACGAGGCTGCTAACCCTCCCAGGTGATTCTCCTGTACCTGGGTTGAGCATCCCCACCTGGGATGAAAACAGTGCTGGGGAGTTCGTGAGAGAAGCCCCCTGGTCCAGCGAAGAAGCATCAGCCAGGTGCCTTCTCCAGGATTAAACAAGTCCCACCGTGGAGCTAAGGGTCACCTCACCCTCCCCAGGAAAGGAGACCGTTGGACTCAACAACCTGGAGACAGGGGACAAGCTCAAGGGTCCAGAGGCTGCCAGCCACATTCCCTTGGCCTCTCAGAAGCAGGACCGCCACTGGTACCCAGACTGGGCCAAGATCTCAAGAGAGCCAGCCTGTTATGTCTGGTGCACAGACAATGTGCAACATGAGGGCTAGTTACCACAGGGGCGCCCATCACAAGACAGTAAACACTTCACCAAACATAAGCTTTGTAATTCTCCCAGAGCTGGGCACAGCTGCTTCTCAGAGCAAATCTATACAACCTATCCAAGGCATCTTCATCCCTTTGACACCCAAGCATGTGAGTGTGTACATGTTGGTTTCCTAGTGGCGAAGCCGACATCCACAAGCAGTTTTGCTTTAGTCAATGCCAGAGAATTCCTCCAGGCAAGCGCAGCTGTCGACCGCCTGACACATCTCGAGTCTCAGGACACCCTGCCCTTGCCCTCCAAGGCCATACTGAAACTACCAGGTGACTCAGGCAAGCCCTGCCCTCAAGGCTGACATAATCTTCCCAGTTTACACACTCCTAAGTATAATAGTTGAGAGCCAACATGGGTGCGGTCATGGCTGCTTGCTCATTTTCAGGCTAATTTTACTACATGTGTAAATGAAAAAAACAAATAAACAAAAAGCAAAAACCCTCCAAATAGCAAACAGTAAAGGAACATTTTGTTCAATGCTTGCTGGCATACAGCAAGCTGCTATGGAAAGAACTAAGGAGTCATGGATGATTGTGGTGATCATTATTGTGATGACATTGCCATGATATGCCTGTGTAAAATGGCGGGAGTGTAGCTAAGTAGCTGATTGCTTGTCTAGCATGCTGGAGGCCTTCAGGTCAATTTCTAGCACCATATTTTAAAAGTGAGCATAGTGCATGCCTGTGATCCAAGACTTGGGAGGCCAAAGCAGAGGGATCAAATCACTATTGTTGCTTTCACTATTCAATGATACACTTGAGGGGGAAAAAACCTGAACAAGCCTCTGCCTGCAGTTTGTGGCCAACTCGGTTCCCTAGGCTGGTGTCAGGGTTAACTCTGAGTTTTCCTGTTTAACCCAGGTAATTGGGCCTGTAAATCTCAGCCACACTTCATGACCCAGTGTAAAGTCTGGGGGAAGTGAAACATGCCCCTTTCTAATGGACTACAGTAGTGTGAAACAGCTGGGAAGAGGTCTAACAGCAGCACACACACGCGCGTGCACACACACACACACACACACACACACACACACACACACACACACACAGGAGAACGACCATGGGAAGTTCACAATGCTAACTGTAGTAAGCGAAGGAGGCTATGGCATCTGGGGAGGGGATGGTAAAATTTATGCTTTTTCTATTGCACATTTCCTTAGTTATATATCACTCCTTTTTTTTTTCTTTGAACGGGATCTCATTTTGCAGCCCAGGCTGCTCTTGAACTCAGCCAACAAGTGCTGGGATTACAGGCATGTGCCGCCATCCTAGACCATTTCACTACTTTTCACACACACACACACACACACACACACACACACACACACACTACACCACACAAAAAGACAAAACAAAGCAAAAACCTGTGATTCTATTGGCACTGTGTCTGTCTCCCCTGTACAACTGTCATGGGAACTTCCAGTGTTCTGGAAACATCAGTTTTCCCTCCTGAAGCTCTAGGCTGCCTCTGTGAGGTCAGGGAATGGCTGCCTGTCAACTGATTCTGTCCCTGCAGTGGCTGCCTGTCCCGATCCTGTAACTAGCCTGCTCTGAGACCTACCTCCTTGTGGGTTCAGTATCTCCTCTCAGCAGAGGGGCCTCACCCCTGCCAGGCCAGAAGCTCCCCAGCGTTGCAGCCTCACCTTGTACATGTCCACATGCTTGGTGTGTGGGAAATGGAAGGTGGAGATAAACATCTTGACGCAGTCACTCCTCATTCCATCCCGATACAGGTTCTCTGCCAGCATCCGCGCCACGAAGTTCTTGCCTGTGCCGGACCAGCCATGGAACGACAGAGCCAGGGCCTTATCAACTTGGGGCATCTCTAAGTAGCCCCTCACTGCTCTTGGGACCAGCTTGCTAGCCAGATGCTGGCCATGCAGTCGCACACGCAGGTCTGATTCTAAACCTGGAAGGAGGAAAGAGGCCACAGTGAGAGGCACAGGGGCATGTGTGTACCCCCTCCCTGCCACACCCCACCATGTCTATCATCTGATCCCTGTGGCCTCAGAACAAGAATCGAGAAGGCAGACCTCACAGCAGATGGTATTCAAATGCCATTTGCTGAAGAATTTGAGAAATCAAGATTGAACTCTGGAGAATAAAATTACCCTTTCTGGATCTGCCACAATGGGTGGTCAGGCCAGTGTGGAGGAACCCCACATCTAAAGGGTTCCCAGCCCTGCTTCAAGAGTTCATGTTCTCTGTCCATCATGCCATCCCAACCTGGCACATACTTGAGAGCAGCTTCCCAAAGCCAGGCCTGTTTTCCTCCCCCCACCCCCAAGGGACACAGATTGGAGGCAGGGAGGCTGGGCTACCAGTTGGGGTAAGGTGCCAGACATTAACTTATCATCAAGATCAATTGACTTCACACCTCAAGCAGCCCAGAGAGAGTTCTGGAACATTGGCAGGTGACAGTCTACTACAAGTCACTGTCATCATCTTGCTTCCTTTCAAAACCATTGGTAGCCGGGCACTGGTGGCGCACGCCTTTAATCCCAGCACTCGGGAGGCAGAGGCAGGTGGATCTCTGTGAGTTCGAGACCACCCTGGTCTACAAGAGCTAGTTCCAGGACAGCCTCCAAAGCCACAGAGAAACTCTGTCTCGAAAAACAAAACAACAACAACAACAACAACAAAAAATCAAAACCATTGGTGCCACAAAGGGAAAACTGACACTTAGAGCTATCTCCTCTGTCATCAGAACTAGGACGCTTCAAATTTGGACTCCCAGGCCCTGAAGAACAGTGGGTCATCTAAAGAGAGAGCAGTGACTTGCTGTAAATCCACATTCAGACTGCCTGACCTGTATGTGGCCTGCGATTCCACGCTGTCTAGACCCTGCTTCAGACATGGTCACTGGTAGTCTGTGCCTCCTTCCTTCCATCCTTCCCTTCTCTTTCTGTGTGTGTGTGTGCTCCTGTATGTGTGCAGGGGGATTGCCTGTGTCCTGTATGTGTGCAGGGGGATTGCCTGTGTCCTGTATGTGTGCAGGGGGATTGCCTGTGTCCTGTATGTGTGCAGGGGGATTGCCTGTGTCCTGTATGTGTGCAGGGGGATTGCCTGTGTCCTGTATGTGTGCAGGGGGATTGCCTGTGTCCTGTATGTGTGCAGGGGGATTGCCTGTGTCCTGTATGTGTGCAGGGGGAGTGCCTGTGTCCTGTATGTGTGCGGAGGCCAGAGGTTCACATCAGGCACTTTCTATCTTGTTTTTTGTTTGTTTGGTTGGTTTGGTTTTTTGAGATTCTGTGTAATAACCCTGGCTGTCCTGGAACTCACTCTGTAGACCAGGGTGGCCTAGAACTCAGAGGGATCCTCCTGCCTCTGCCTCTGAGTGCTGGAACTGAAGATGTGCGCCGCCACTACCTGACTTCTGCCTTGCTTTTTAAGGCAAGATCTCTCATTGAACCCAGAGCTCAGATTTGACCAACAAGCCCTGGGGATCTCCACCAGTGGGTGTGCATGAGTGTGCCACTGTGCCTAGCTTTTACATGGGTGCTGGGGTCTGAACTGAGACCCTCATGCTTGTGTAGCAAGCACTATAGGACCTGAGCTGTCTCCCATCAGCCCCGCGTTGGCGTTTTTCTCTCTCTCTCTTTCTTTCTTTCTTTCTTTCTTTCTTTCTTTCTTTCTTTCTTTCTTTCTTTCTTTCTTTCTTTCTTTCTTTCTTTCTTTCTGTTTTTCGAGACAGGGTTTCACTGTGGCTTTGGAGGCTGTCCTGGAACTTAACTCTTGTAAACTAGTCTTGTAAACTAGGCTGGTCTCGAACTCACAGAGATCTGCCTGCCTCTGCCTTCCAGTGCTGGGATTAAAGGCTTGCACCACCACTGCCCTTGGCGCTTTTCTTTTCTTTTTTTGGTTTTTCAGAGACAGCGTTTCTCTGTGTATCTTTGGAGCCTATCCTGGCACTCCCTCTGGAGACCAGGCTGGCCTCGAACTCACAGAAATCCGCCTGTCTCTGCCTCCGGAGAGCTGGGATTAAAGGCATGCGCCACCAACGCCCGGCCGCGTTGGAGCTTTTCTAATTAAATACCCTGATGTTTAGTTTGTACCTCAAGGTGATAGAGACGCTAGAGGTGGGATAGGGGAACTCCAGGCAAACCTCAGGTGAGAAACTACTTCTGGGGAAATCGGGGAATTTTGCAAAGGACTAAACCACACCTTTCCGAACAGGTTTTGTGTCTGGGGCTAAATACCACACTGGAGAGTTAAACTGCAAACTACCTGTAACATACAACAGATCCACCTAACATAATTTAAAAAAATACAGAAGAAGGTTGGTTAGTATTTACTTATATGCACGAAGCTAGGTTGGGGTGTACACGCTTTTCCGATAGAGCAATGTTCATCCATGGAATGGTATGGATTGGTTTATAATGCAAAAGAACTTCCTGTTTCTCTCAGGATGCAGACACCCCACCCCCACCCTGCCCCGCCCCAGCCTTTATCACGATAAACCAAGAAGCCCAGGTTATATCCCCACTGTCTGTGCCCGCCAACTAATCTGGGTTCACACCTGAGAAGGGGAGTACAAGTTGAGGAAAGATGCAAACAAGAAACAAGAGATAGAGTTGAGCCAGGCGGTGGTGGCGAACGCCTTTAATCTCAGCACTCAGGAGGCAGAGGCAGGAAGATCTCTGTGAGTTCGAGACCAGCCTGGTCTACAAGAGCTAGTTCCAGGACAGCCTCCAAAGCCACAGAGAAACCCTGTCTCGAAAAACAAAACAAAATAAAAGAGCACTGGCTGCTCTTCCAGAGGTCATGAGTTCAATTCCCAGCAACCACAGGATGGTTCACAACCATTCGTAGTGAGATCTGGTGCCCTCTTCTGGCCTGCAGGCATACATGCAGGTAGAACACTGTATACATAATAAATAAAATCTTTAAAAAAGGGCGGGGGTAGAGTCGGGAGGAAGGCCATTAGGTAAATTCAGAATCCGTCCATTTTAATGTTCAAAGTTTTTTATATCCCCATTAAAAGAGGAGAAGAAGGCAAAAAATTTTGGAGAAGGGGAATGTGGAGGGATAAGTTTCTCACCAGTTACTTCTTCGCCAACACCCCTCCCCACAGATCCCCTGGACGCTGGAAACCATTCGGGCTCTAACCTGTAAAGTTGTTGGAGATCCTGCAGTGCCTGCCGCCGGTGCAGCAGTCCTGAAAGCGGCAGAACCACTCGGTGAAGCTATCCAGGGCCCGCCGGCCCCACAGAGGAAGGCTCCAGCCTGGAAAGGAGATGACAAGACAGTGATGAGAGGGGCAACCCTGAGGTTTCTCAGTGACAGCGCCCAAACCGGAGTCTGGGTCCCAACTCCCAGCATGTGCTCCAGCGCTGCCTCCACAAGCCTCAGAGGTTGGAGGCAGTCACCGGTCCTGTCTACAAAGGACTTTCTCTAAGCCGTCAGTAAGGCAGGCGGGCAAGAATGGGGAGACTGTGAGCGTCCAGAGCAATCAGGGCAGGCAGGTGAGGCAGCCAGACCTCCTGCTGTCCCAGGGGCTGCACCAGACGTGCGGTGACCGGGCCTCTTGATTCGCAGAGGCTGCCACTGCTCCCGCTAGGTGCGCGACGCTGGTGAGGCTGGCAGGTGAGCGAGGGATCGATCGGCGGCGGGGACCGCTCTTACCCAGGGGCGGCGTGGGGGCCTCCTGGTCCTCACAGTGATCCGGCCACACGGTGCAACTGAAGGTCGCCCAGTACCGTCTGGAGAGGGATCCGATGGTCTTCAGCTGCTCCCGCAGGCGTTGGACGCCCAGCCAAGGGTCCTGTTCTTCGGCCTCCTGCTCCAGGCTTGTGGCGCCTCGGTGGCCCTGCGTGCCCGGGGGGCTCGGTGGCCCCAGCAGCAGCAGCAACAGCAGCAGCCAGAGCGTTCCACGAAGCATGACCCGTCCGTGCGCTTCCGCCTCCAAGAGTCCGGGACCCACCGCCACCAGCCAACGGGAGTGGCCTAGGATTGGCGTCGCCATGGTGACCGGCCCGCCTTCCGCTGAGGTTGAGCCAGCTGCTGCTCTCAGACCCGAAACCTACCGGAACCGAAACCCAAGCTGGTGTCCCGGGCTACAGGAACCCGGAGACTGACTTGAGCCTCTGCCCAGGATAGGACGCAGCCTATTCTGGGGCATGCCTGTGGCCTCAAGGAAAGTGACAGCAGGCCTGAATGGCCACTGCCAAGCACTCAGCTGTGCCTCCCACATAAGGACTCCCTTTGGTGCCCAGCCCTCGTAGGAGGTCACCTTTCTGCCAACCCCACAACGAGGAAGACGAAAAACAGGCCAAGCAGGAGGCGTTTTATTGGCCAGGAGTCAGCTGGGTGAAGAAGCTGCCCAAGAATATTAGCAGGTGTGGCAGCATTCTCGCTGTGCTACACAGGGGTCTGACTCTAGAGCGCTAGCTCCTAGCCTTATCCATCTTTTGTTTAGCAATTAACGCTTTGTTTCTCTTGTCTGAGAGTTTCCCAAGGGTACAAAGCCTATGTAAAACTTGTTTAGAAGGAAATCCAGAAGGTACCTTCGGAATCGGCTTTTTGCTCTTGGTATTGTCCCTTTGGAAGTTTCCTCAAAATGTTGTTGGTTTGGTTTGATTTTTTGAGACAAGCTCTGTAGCTTTGGAACCTGTCCTGGAACTCGCTCTGTAGACCAAGCTGGCCTGGAACTCACAGAAATCCGCCAGCCTCTGCTGGGATTAAAGGCGTGTGCCACTACCACCCAGGCAAGAAGTTTTGAAGATACAGAAATTTATTTGTTAGGTGTGAATTGGAGAACAATAAAAAGTAGCCCTGGACGAAGGGAAAGGTTCAATTCTGAAGGTTGAGTCCTGAAGGGTCAGCCCCTAAGGTTCAGTCCTGAGAATGATGCACCCCGCAGTCAAGAAAGGATAAAGTAATTCTTTAGGTGCCTCTGAGTCTTCATTTCACGGACCTGCGGCCGTGATCCGCGACAAGCAAGATTGATGTAGACGACCAAGGTCGCCCCTAGTCCTATGGAGAGAGAAATGAAACATTGAGAAGTTGGCAGTCAGCTTTCATGGCTGTCAATCCGGCAAAAGCAAGAGGAAGTCGGGTCGGGAGACAGTTGAGTTTTGGAAATTCCGGAGTTAAGGGGAAATTGCATCATGTTCGAATTAGAGAAGTTAGGATAAGTACTTGTCCACTCATAACTATGAGGCTGATCAGATGTGCATGGTGATGCATGCCTTTAATCCCAATACCCAGAGGCAGAGCTCTGTGAGTTCAAGCCCATCCTGATATACATACTCAGCCATCTAGGGCTACATACAAAACATTAAATACCCAGATTTGGTCCCCAGCTTAGTATCATGGGGAGGTGGTGGAAATCAGTCAGAGATGAACCCTAGTAGAGGTCTTTGGGTTACTGGGTGGGTGGGGGTATGTTCTTGTAAGAGAATTGTGGGTGAGCTATTTTGCTCTACCTACTGCTCCTGCAGATGCCAGCTGCCCATCTTCTCCAGAGGCCTGTGAGTAGTGAACTGGAACCTTCAAGGCTATGAACCAAATAAACCTTTTCCTTGATAACGCTCTCTGGTATTTGCCACAGTGGCAGGAAACTAGCATACACCTTTATGCAAACATTAACTCATTCAATAAACATTGTCAGTCTGCATATGGATTAATCTGACCGAGCCCTGTTCTCTATTTGTACAACATGGGTGTTACCTTATTACTGGTCCATACCCTGACGGCTCCACCCGTCAGGGATGCTGTGAAGAGCAGTCAAATGAATGCTTCATATTCAGTACATGGTTATTTTTATTTCGTTGTGTAGCAAGGGTGTGCATTTATGTGGAATGTGTAAAACAGCATCCCAGAAGAGACTTGGGTCACTCTAGTTACACTAGTGTTTACTGGAAAATTGTAGTGTAGACTAGGGCTAGTATGAAGGTAGAGTGCCTGCTTATGTACTAAATTCAACAACAACAACAATAACCAAAAAACCAACCAAACAAACAAACAAAACCTAAAGTTTGTCAGAACAGCACAAGTTTTAAGTCTATGGGGTATTTGTCTCAGCTTTGCAATTTTTGGGTCTTGCTAGTAATCTGAGATGCTTTGGTTAAGATTTAGCATTTCACTGCAGAGAAAGTAACTGGAAACTCCTTAGACTAACTTGATTTCAAGACATTCCTTTGAAAAACACTTGAGGTAAGAATTTCATCAAGAAGTCGGCCCCACACTGAAACAACAAATCCAAACATTAGTGTTTGTATGTCTTTAACTATTTCTGTAAATTCGTCATATTCCACTCTCAGGGATTGGAGCTAGGGGTTGTGCACGCCAGGAGAGCTCATGGGTGACGGGGACATCTAGAGGCTATAGTAGGAACTTCAGGAAGCTTTGAGTGCTCGGCATTACTCAAGCAAGACTGCATGCAGTGTGGGACCCTGCCACACCAAATCCAGTAGATTCTGTGTGACAAGTTCCACAGACTGAGGTGATAACTTCAGAAGGAGGAGGTCTCCTGGAAATGGTTGTAGAACTCTCAGCTGGGGAAAAATATTGGGCTGTGATTCTCATGGCAATTTCTGTTCTTCTATTCCTTTTTTTTTTTTTTTTTCACAACGAAATGTTCCAAAAAGCCTATGCTGGCATTTTAAACAAAAGAAATAGATAAGAAACAGTCCCCTGGGGCTGGAGAGATGGCTCAGAGGTTAAGAGCACTGACTGCTCTTCCAGAGGTCCTGAGTTCAATTCCTAGCAACCACATGGTGGCTCACAACCATCTGTAATGAGATCTGGTGCCCTCTTCTGGTGTGCAGATATACATGGAAGCAGAATGTTGTATACATAATAAAATCTTTATTAAAAAAAAAAAAAAGAAACCATCCCCTGAGATGGGGGCACTAGCCATGACCTCATCTCAGGAAAAACCAGAGCTTTCCAAATTATTCATGTCATTCATATAAGTACAAAAAGTAAAAACTTTCCCAACAATAAAATTTCATATGGCTGTACATGTGTCATCGAAAGTGGACTTAAGTGACTGGTAATGAAAGCTTTTAATAAGAAAGAGTTAAAGTAGCTCAATACCTCAAAAACTCATAAGAACTAGGTAATAGATGTTAAACAATAACTGGCCATAAAATATACTATTTTGATTTAAGAAATATGTGCTTAGCCTTGGATGATCCTATGTTAGTCAAGGACGGCCTTATGTTTTGACTAATCAAGGACAAATTTTATGTTTTGATTAACCCTGGATGATTCTGTTTTGTATTTCTGCATCACTGTGTCAAGTAACAATAATGCCATATGTTTGGGTTTAACAAAAACATCCCCTGAGAAAATATCTCTATTAAAAAAACCTTGTTTGAGAACTACAAAAGACACTCAGATTCAAACTGCCTCTGTGTTTGTTTCTGTTTGTCACCGCCGAATCCTTACCCACCTATTCTTCGAGGACCCTCATCCCAGGGACTCCCATACCCGGCTGGGGTGGTCTGTGGCAGGACCTCAGGCCTGTGAGTCAACATATGTGTGTGGCAGAGAAAATGGACCTCACTTTTCTTTTTTAAAAGGAGTTATTTATTATGTGTACGTACAGCATTCTGCCTCCTTGTATCCCTGCATACCAGAAGAGGGCACCAGATCTCATTATAGATGGCTGTGAGCCACCATGTGGTTGCTGGGACTTGAATTCAGGACCTCTGGAAGAGCAGGCAGAGCTCTTAACCTCTGAGCCACCTTTCCAGCTCTGAACCTCACTTTTGAAAAGCCACTTCCCACCCCGCTGAAGGTAGCCAGGACCATCTCTCTTGAAAACAATCTCTGGGGACAACACAAGCCTCTTATCTCCAAATAAATAAATTTGGTAAACAGACCCTGAAACCACCAGGATGAATGTGTCCTAGTTCACCTGGTAAAGGTTCAACCTCCGTGGCCTAGGGCACTTGTGGGATCCCTGTGCTCTGTGACTGTTCTTTCAAGAGAGGGTACACTCAACACAATGACCTCAGGCAGGGGACAGAAGTGCAGGCCCTGGTGGTCCTGAATCTTGAGTTCACAGCTCCCCAATTCTGGAGTCATGGAGCTTTTATTCCATCATTGTTGAGAGGAACTGTATTAAAGGGTGTCAGCAGGAAGGGTGAGAACTCCTGTTCTAGAGGCTTCTTACATGAAGGGCCAGTCACATCTGGGTGGCATGTTGCATTGCTCAGGACACAGATGCATACTGGGGTTTACCCCCGCGCCGCCTGCTCTAAGAAATGAAAGCCATACGTGTGCTGAGGAGTGAAGGGGTCCTCCTGTGGCGTGTGCAGGAAGATCTATGTGACCATTTGAATGAGAACTGTCCCTCAGTCTTGGGCATTCAAATACTTGGTCTGCAATTGATGGTGACGTTTGGGAGGTTTGGGAGCTATGGCCTTGTGACCGGAGGAAGGAGTTAAGAGTTAAAGACCTGTCATACAGTGGTGGCCCCTGGCTTTAATCCCAGCACTTGGGAGGCAGAGGTAGGTGGTCCTGAGTTCAAGGCCAGCCTGGTCTAGAGAGAGTTCCAGAGTGGCCATTGCTACACAGAGAAACTCTGTCTTAAAAAAAGAAGAGTTTAGCCGGGTGGTGGTGCACCTTTAATCCCAGTGCTTGGGAGGCAGAGGCAGGCGGATATCTGTGAGTTCAAGGCCAGTCTGGTCTACTGAGTGTCTTTCAGGACAGGCTCCAAAGCTGTACAGAGAAACCCTGTCTCGAAAAACCAAAAAGAAAAAAAAAAGAAAGTTTAAGACTCCTATCATTTCAAATTTGCTCTGCTTCATGCTTGTGGTTGAAGGGGTGAGCCCACAGCTTCTGCTCCAGCCACCATTCCTGCCACCTCTACCTCTCCACCATGGGCCCTTATCTGATAACTTGTTGCCTTGGTCATGGTGTTCTAATCACAACAATACAACGTGATACGTCAGGGAGGAACACACACCAGTCTTGGCCTGCTCTCCATTGTGATGGACAAATACAAAGACAAGAGCTGGCAGCAAACCAAGAGGAAATCTAAGCTGCTTGTCTGGTGGAGGGTTTATTTACTTTTAATTTATTATGTATACAGTGTTCTGCCTGCACATATGCCTGCAAGCCAGAAGAGGGCACCAGATCTCATTACAAATGGTTGTGAGCCACCATGTGGTTGCTGGGAATTGAACTCAGGACCTCTGGAAGAGCAGACAGTGCTCTTAACCACTGAGCCATCACTCTAGCCCTTGGCTGAGGGTTTAAGATACTGGATTTCCATTTCAAAAATGAAAATTCTGAGTATCCTAAGAATTCTAATCAGGGGAATTTGTTTCTGCTAAGTCCTACTTAGGATTCATAGTTCTTCATCTCACAAGAAGCTTCGAGAAAGGAGCTAACTATTAAACATCCAGGACACCCTGAAGATTATGACAACTTTGAAGTCCGCTACAGCTGACTGTGTGGGCCTAAGTCTGTGGCGCTCACTCACTGGAAGCAATCCCTATGGAAGTTTAAGTAGAGGCAAAGGATGTAATGTTTTGTTCCTTAAAAACAGGTAGGAAAATGGAATAGGAAGCACTGGGGAGAAAAAAAAAGTATTAACAGGAAAACATGATACAATAATATATATTAAAATCTTTATTATTTCTTTTTCAGAATTGAAACCCATAGAACACATTAGAAATTTGTTTGGTGTCTTACCAAGTACAACCTCTGTCTGTACAACAGCTCCAAGAGGAAATCCCAGGCAGATCAAACAAGAGGGCAGTGATGCCTACACCACCCTTTAGACAAATAAATTAATCTCCCAGTAAGTTATTCCCAGCCTCCCCCAATAGTTTGAGGATCACTGTAGGTCCTAAAAACGCGTGACAGTGCAGTACCCAGTCCCCATTCACCACCCAGCCTAGAGAGATACAGGGGAGAAAAGCCAGCCTCCCCCATGGAGCAAGTTTCACAGTCAGGTCACCTGGCTCAGCAGACTGCTCAGGAGATGCTTGGTGAACGTGCTAACCTTTACTGGCCAAGTCCTTTCTCAGTGTCAGTCAGTATTTCCTTGTGTCAAAGGAAATCTATGTTCCTTGGCAGAATACAACACGGCCATACTGACCCAAAAAGCCCTGTACCCACCATCCTGAAAGCCAGATCAGAGGCACAAGGGAGCTTGCTGACCGAAGCTGTCTTATGGTCACAAGAGAAGGTCAATTGCTGGTCAAAGAGACCAAGTGAGGAATGAGAAGGGAGGCTGAAGGGTGTGGTCATGGAGATGCAGAGCCAAGGTGTGAGTGTTTCAAAGAAAACACAAATTCTTTGGATGGCAATTCTGTCACCAGCACTGGGAAAAAAAGAAAAGCTGCCAGGATTCACTTTGCTAAAATAATCTGTAATAAATGTAGTCAAATCCTTCCATTTTCTTCTTAAAATTTAGTCTTGACACTTTAACCCTGAGTGCAAACAGGGAGACATACCTTAAAAATACCACCCATCTTCAGCAAATTAGAGCCCATTGTTTTAAAAGGAATTTATAGCACAGTGCAGCCTGAGACTAAGGAACAGTTTGAGAATAAAAATTCTATACCTAAATTTCTCATTTCAACTTCAGAATACATATATTTAAGAAGTGGGAGCAAATGAGGAAACTGCAATAGGTTCCAGTTTCTTGGTTTTGTAGTAAATATGTCCATGTATTCAGTGTTCAGTTGGCAAATGTAATTTAGAGCAGACCTAGCTCCCTCTGGTGGCTTGATTATAACAGCCCTAACTCTCATAAATGACCTGGAAAGAGGCCAGAGTTACAACACTTTTTAAAAACGTGCCTCTCCTTTTTTCTCCAACACAACTTTTGTGTCTATAAATTTGGAGCTAGAAGCTTATGGCCGCCTCCCTGCCCTGCCAACCTTGCCAAGTGTGAGAAACCTGAGGGCTTAAACTCAGAAGGTAGTTGCTCAATCCAGGCTCCATGGCTGGCACTAAATGTCAAGCATGGCACTGAAAGGCTGGTCTTGACAGAAGTCCAGAACTGGACAAGAGGCAGAGGGAACACACAGCTCCGTGTGTGGACACCGTCCCGAGCCCTGTAATTTACCACCAGCTGCTTCCATGTCAAGTGACTTTGCCAGAACACACAACTAAGCCTAAACTTGACAATGCTGCAAGGAGATGAATTCTACTAACTACACCATGGGTTCAAAACTCCAATATGAACCAAAATATTAAGGCTCTTCATGGTAGTCTCAGTTTCAAGGCTCAGAAGGCTTAAAATCTTTTTCTCTGCTACCTGCAGGGCCTACATCACAAGCTCAGTCCAGCAACCAGCAGGACGCTTTCTAATAAGAAGGCACAAACAAGGCCATTAACCTCATGACAGCAGCATCGCTGATTAAATGCCTTACACCTTAGAAGAGAAACGAGAGGTGAGTATGGTTGCTCATACTAATAATCCTAGCATGTGGAAGGCTGAGGCAGGAGGATTGCTGCCAGTTCAAAGCTAGCCTGATTATATACTAAATTCCAGACCAGCATGGGCTAGAGTAAGAGCCTATAGTCTACCTCAAAATAAACAATACCAACAAGGTGTGTGTGTGTGTGTGGGGAAGGTGAGGATGACAGAGATCACAGGTACCAAACTTGTATTATTTCAGCTTGTTTTGCTACTTAGAGGGTAAGTCAGTGCCTGGCAGGGAGTATGCTTGGGTTGTAATCCTATTTCCTCTGTAGACAGTTTTGGTTTATTTGAACAGGACTAGAGGGTGAGTGTTTGCTTTGGACACATTTAAGAACCTAAACACAGGGGAAGCTGATTTTCACTAAGGCAATCATCCTCCTGGTTCTACAGAGTGAGTCCCTCCCTCTTCTCTTCCCTGAGATGTCAAATCCATAGCACTCAATAGCTACGAGCCCCAACACCTTCCTGACCTGACCTTCCCTTCCTCCATCTACCTTAAAATGGGTCTCCTCCAGCAGCCTGTGCTCTTTTGTCTGATGCCACTCTGGAGGAGCAGGACATTTTATAATCTGACTAGTTCTGCCTTTGTTTGTTGTTTGTTTTTAAAGACACAAGGGACTGCAAAGTCAATCTACAGAATCTATGGGTGTGGAGAAAAGATGGCATGCTCCACCCCAGACACAAACTCTGGAACCAAACTGCTTAGCCAGTGTCACACCTGTTTGTCCTTTTTGTGGGAATAAGACTGACCAGAGATGGAGCCTGCTGCCTGAATAGGCCACTGCTGTGGATGCCAGGTGACTCCACAGACAAGCTCCCATGCCGACACTGCAGTAAACACCAAGCACTCTCAGCACCACCAATACCCGCTGCTGGCCACTTCCAGGCCATCACATGCCACTTGGAATTGATTGTGCTGTTTCTCTATCTTCGTATAAACCAGTTCCACCTGTTTCACGTTGAGAGTTACAAGTGGGAGAGCGGCATCCTGTCTTCCACCAGCACAGTGTCCATCCCAAACTGGTCAGTACACTGCTTGACAGTGGCAAGGACATTCAGAAGCCGCTGGTCCACAGTGTCCAAGTGTGGATCAGAGAGCACAGGGGAGATGGGGTCATGGGCCATGGCAGATTTTAAGGCAGACTTTAGCACTCCATTCTTTAGGTAGTTCAGTCTATTCCAGGTTGAAACCCGAATGCTGAAAGAAAAAGTTTTAAAAGAAGTTACATAACATCTTTCTATCAAATTCTGTATAAAGCTTGGATAGCAGAAAAGTTTTTTTAAAAATTGTGTAAAATATTTCAACTAAAAGAAAAAAAATCACTTCTATTTCAGACTTACCTCTTTATTAAAAGTAAGCTGCACTGCCATGTTGTAAATTTTGGGGAGTAATTAGAAATATCTACAAAAGCTGGGCAGTTTAGGAGGCAGAGGAAGGCAGAGCTCTGTGAGTTCAAGGCCAGCCTGGTCTACAGAGTGAGTTCTAGGACAGCCAGGGCTGTTACACAGAGAAATCTGGTCTCAACAAACAAACAAACAAACAAACAAACAAACAAACAAACAAAGGAGATATATACAAAGATTTATACATATTCATTGCAGTAAGAGGAAAACTGAACCAATCTAAATGTCTAACAAGCAAGAAATACTTCAAATTATGGCCAATCCACTAGGGAAATATCATGCAGCCATTAAAAAGGTTTGAAAACCGAGTGGCATGGGGAAATGTCCATGATAATTATGTTAGAGTTGAGAAAATTGGAGAGGAAAACTTCTATTCCACATCTGTAGGGAAACTAACGTGTATGATTAGAGCAACGGAACTGCAGGGTTAGAATGTAGAATGAAGTTCACTGTGTTAACAGGAACTATCCTCAGATGCTCAATTTCTGAATTTTAAAAATTCAACCATTAATAATAGAAAAATATTTACTCTAAGAATGAGTATATATATATACTTCATATATATATATATGAAGACAGATCTCTGTGAGTTCAAGTCCAGGCTGGTCTACAGGGCAGGTTCCAGTACAGCCAGGGATACACACAGAAACCCTGTCTCAAAACCCCACCCACTACCACTGGAAAAAAAAACAAAAACAAAAACAAAAACAAAAAACAAAAAAACTACTTTCTTGGAGATGGAAGTGGCTCAGCAATTAAGAGCATTTATTGCTCTTGGAGAGGGAGGACCCATGTTCAGTTTCCATGTTCAGTTTTCTGAGCTGTGCACAGTGGCCTGTAACTCAAGCTTCAGGGGAACCAATGTTTTCTTCTGGCTGCTGCAGGCACTGCATTCAGGAACACATAGTACCACAGACAGACACAAAGACAGACGCACAGACATAATTCCCTAAGTTATTTCACTAATTGCTATGGTTTAGGTATTTATCCCCAGTAACACTCATGTGAGAAAGCAGTTGCCACTGGAACAGTATTCTAAAGATTCAACCAGTTCATGTGGGCAGAGGTGATGCTGATGCTGCCCTCTGCAATTCCATCTCTTGTCAAGGAGTAACACAGTAAGAACTCTTTCAGGGGCTGGAGAGATGGCTCAGAGGTTAAGAGCATTGGATGCTCTTTCAGAGATCCTGAGTTCAATTCCCAGCAACCACATGGTGGCTCACAGCCATCCGTTATGAGATCTGGGGCCCTCTTTTGGTGTGTAGAAATACATTTAAGCAGAATGTTGTATACAAAAAAAATAAAAAAAATCTTTTTTTTTTTTTTTTTTTTAAAGAGCTCTTTCAGGGTGCCAGGGTTTTGATATTAGGTGACCAGAGTATCATCCCTGGAGACCATTTAAGGCGGATGGAAGGAGTCAAGTGCCTAAACTGTCCTCTGACCTCCACTCATACACTGGTACACAAGCCCATGCCTACACACAATGCATACAAACACACATAATAAAAATAAAATAAAATACATTTAAAGGAAATGCCTTGGTTTGTGACTTTCTGTTATAGCAGAATGAAATAGAATAAGTGACCAAAGAGAAGTGATTTATCTCAAGATAAGTTCTTACCTCTCTGTGGACACAGGAGAGGTAACTAGGCAGAATGTGGACACAGGAGAGGTAAGCAGGCATGCATACGTGTCTTACTTTGAGAGAAGTAGACTCTTTTGCAGCTACTTAAAGTAAGGAAGATGAGTCTTTGTACAAAGCACAGAAGAGATGGACTACATGCACTGGACAGCATTGTGACTCTGAACTCTACTGTAGATGCACAGGCATCAGAGCTTCTCCAGGGTAACAGAGCTGCTACTTGATTGACCCACACCAACTTCACACTCCAGTATTTGCTTCTCATATTCTCAATAGTGTCTCCTCATAAACCAGAAGAGGGACAGTGCAGCAGGAAGGGGCTCTCTCAGTGCCTCTGGCTATTGTAGGGTAAGTAGTTTAGTGGTACAGGAAGGAGGTCTCCAACAAAGCTCTGCCTCAGCTGTATTCTCAGAAGATGCAAACCCATGAAGCTGCAGCCTCATCTGATCACTTCCCTGAGGTCCCTTTTTCAGACAGGGTCTCATGTAGTCCAGAAGACTGGATTTGCTAAACAGCTCAAAACGATACTTCTCCTACTCCCCCCACCTCCCCTCCCACCCCTAAGCGCTGGGATGACAGCACTGAGGCTTTCCTGACATAGGGACCAGTATGGCATCACCAATCTGATTCACTCTGTGGGCCTATAAATGTGTCCTGAAGGTGGCTCAGAGGCTTCCCAGAGTCATCTCTTCCTCTGCAGATCATGACATCAGCTGCTGACTGCCTGTATCCCACCTGCTCTCAGCTTTCCACATTAGTAAGGAGAATGAGGGCGGCCCAGGTACATATGACTTTCTAAAGAACTCAGTTTCCTACTGAGAAAGAAAAGGCTGAGCACAGTGGCACAGACTTGTATATAATCCCAGTACTTGGGAGACTGAGGCAAGGATTCTGGGATTCTGAGGGCAGTGTGAAAGAAAATAAGGAAGGACCAGGGGGAAGAGCTAGGGAAGGAGGGGAATGACAGGAAAGGGTGGAGACAGTTGGGCTGAAGAGCTGAGTCTGTAAAGTGGTCTGCAACCATAAGGACTTGAGTGTGACCCCTATGATTCATGTAGAGCAGTACATACTTGTAAACACAGAGTCAGGGAAATGGAGACACAAGGACCCCCAGGGCTTAATGGCAAGCCAGGTAAGTTCCAGGGCAATAAAAGACCTTTTCTTAAAAAAAAAAAAAAAAAAAAAAAAAAAAAGTAAAAAAAAAAAAAAAAAAAAAAAAAAAAAAAGGGTGTGCTGTTCCTGAGGATGACACCAAGACTGTCCTCAAACCTACACACATATATGCACACATATGCCTATGTTCACACATACAATAGCAGAAGTGTGTGTGTGTATGTGTGTGTGTGTGTGTGTGTGTGTGTGTGCGCGCGCGCATGTGGTGGGGGACACTGGTGTATACTTCAGTGGTAAAGTACTTGCTTAGCAGGCACAAGATTCTGAATTTAGTTCCAGCACTGGAAAAACACAGACAGACAGATAAGACAAGTGAAAAGACAGAAAGAAGGCAAAGTCACAGGGGCTGTTTCTGGGATGACTAGCACTAGGGTGTTCCCAGACCTGCTTTCTGCAGCCAGTGAGGCAAATCCTGCTGGTTCTTGATATGCAAACTTCAAAATCAGCCCAGGAGCTGGGACCTGAAGCAGGAGCTCCTAGGGCCAGGTTTTATTTCATTTTCTTGATTTACTTCTCAGTTTCTTTAATCTCTACTATATTTAAATCACTCTTTAAATACTTAGAGGAAGTTATTTTTGGATTAGATAACTTCAAACTAAGACATACAAACTCCAGGTGGGAGGGTCTGAAACAAGGTAAACCAGATGCAGCAACGAAGAATGCAGATTGTAACCGATTTAAAAAAAGCAAACCAATTTTTTTGAGATTGTCTCACTATGTAGTCCTGGCTGGCCTAGAACCCACTATGTAGTCCTGGGTAGCCTTAAACTCACAGAGATCCACCTGCTTTTGCATCTTAGGTGCTGGGGATGAAGCCCAGCTAGATTGTTTTTAGCAGGTGATAGGTATATTAAGCCAAACAGGCATGTATTACTATAGATACTACAAACTTACTGATGCAAAATTCAAAATGAATTCCGAGCTTTGGGTGACCTACCTCTGTGCTTCCCTCAGCACTGTCAGGCTTTACAGGGGTTCTGGGTTATAGAAGTAGGAAAAGCAACCCGGATGTTTTAAGGTCAAGAAAACCGATGTACTGGTACCTGAACCTGAAGGAGGTAATGCAGGCAGACACACCTGCTATGCATTAACTTACATGCAACACTGATAGAGAGGGGCAAGAATGCTTCTCTCATCCAGCGAGGGGTTCCCAAAGCTGAAAATTAAATTAAGACAGTAAATTAGGTCCAAGTGTTTGTTCCCTTCTCAGCATCAAAGCAAGAGCACATTCTGTAAAAACCCAACTGTGATCCTAGATAATTTCATGCTCCAACAGCTCAAATCATTTAAATTAAAAATAAGCCAGGCATAACTAATTAGACACAGGATCATTAACAGCCTGAACTAAAGTATCAAATAGCAAATAAACTCATGTAACAAGGACCCTTTTCCTGTCAAGATGCCGTAAGATGCTGTGGTACACACTTTGAGTTCCCAGTGCAAAGGGAGAATGCAGAAATCCTAAGCCTATACAACGTTTAAAAGGCTCTCCCTGATACTTCCTCCAAAAGCCAGGTGTATATTACTTCTGGAATCATTAAAACCTTATTCCTGTAAGCAAACCTGCTGGCAGCTTCAAACCAGAAAAACTGCCCAGGAGCTTTCAGAGGTTGAGACAGAATCAGCTCATAGCAGATATAAAAATAGCATTCCATTAGGAAAGGAATGGTGACTCTGGGAAAATGATCACCCTCTCATTCTTTTTGTTTCTGTGTAGTCCTGGCTGTTCTAGAACTTGCTCTGTAGACCAGGCTGGCCTCAAACTTACAGAGATCTGCCTGCCTCTGCCCAAGTGCTGGAGTTAAAGGCCTGTACTACCACCACCCGGGCCCTTCCATTCTTTTCCTAAAACTTCCTTTAATGACTGGAGAATCTACTAGCCCTGACGACAGTGCAGGCAAAGCAGCTGCTATCCTTTGAATATTTTTGCTGCCCCCAAGTTCTTGTTGCAACTTAATCCCCAGTGCAAGGCTGTAAGAGGTGAGGCCTTTGGGAGATTCAGTTCAGGATATTTGGATCCCAAGCCCTCCCACCCCAGTCACCAGGCTCATCTGCTAAGGTATTAACTGCCAGCCTGCAGCACTATGAGATGTGAAGAAGTCTTCAGGAGCTGGGGCCCAGTGTCACATTACTGGTGTACATTTTTGATGAAGATTTGGGGATCCTGGCCTTTTTTTTTTTTTGGTTCTCTGGTTCCCAGATGCCACAAGGCTGGCATCTTTGCTCTGAATGTGCTCCCAGCAATGATGATTCTGCCTCATCACAGGCCCAAAAGCAATGAAGTCAATAAACCCCTGAAACCATGAACTGAAATAAGCATTTCATTCCTGTAAGTTGATTTATGGAGTGTTTGTGTCTGGAAGCTGAGCAGCACAGTGTCCTAGAGAATTCCCCTCTTTCACACAGACACCGACAAGACAGTCCTGCTGTACCTTTTGGCATTATCAAGAAGGATAAGCATGCTAGCGCCTTCATCATCTTGAAAGCTTTCATAGTGATGGCGGTCGGCATTGCCAATCAAGTAATCAAAGACAGCAGTGTCAATGATGTCCAACAGGCGTGGGCCTGAGTCATAGGGGGACGTTTTCTTCACAGCATCACAGTAGCTCTCATCATATTCCCACCTGGAGGCAAGAGCATCATAAGGGTTACTGGGTACCAGCTACACCTGTCTGTAGAGTTTAGTTCCTAAGAGTCCTACAGAAGCCATGTGGTAACAGTCTGGTTGCTAGCTGTGATGTTATTAGGTAGAAAACTGAGAGCAAGCCTAGGAGGAGGATATGGCTACCCTGGCCTTCCTTCCCTTACCTGCTTCCTAGCCACCACAAAGAGAGTAACTTTCTCCTCCACAGCATATGTGTGTTGCCTCGATACCATGCTACCATAAGCTTCAAAGCTGCAGAGTAGAGCAAGCTGGCTGAAACTGCAGAAGCTGTGAGCCAAAAGAACTTTTCTTCTTTTAAACCACTAGGCATTTTGTCAGTGACAGAAAGCTAATGAAGAAAATTGGTACCAAGATAGAGTCATTGTTGTGACGATCTCTGACAGCAAGATTCAAAGACCTTTGGAATTGGTTTGCATAATTAGAAAAGTTTAGAGAAGCAAGCTAAGCAAAGCAGAGAATGCTGGAAGCACACATTCCTGGGAGGTTTTGGTAGGGGTAAGAGGCTGGCAGGAATACAGGCAGTCAAGGCTGGGCTGAAAGGTTTGGGATGGAACAGGGACTCTACTGGAAGTAGACTGGAGGCTTATCATGTTGCATTCTGAAGGAAATCTGTATATGTTTTGTACATATCCTGAGACTTTGTAGAATGGCTTATACGGTAGAGGCAATCTCAAGGCAGCAGTATAGGAATTACTGGCTGCTTTTAGCCATATTTACTGAGAGAAGTAGAAGCAATAGTTAGACCAGAAAAGAAACACATACAAAGTTCAAGCCAGAAGGGGTATAGTTGCTGAAAAGACTAGTACCATTTTGTCTGTTTGTTTGTTTGTTTTTTTCAAGACAGGGTTTCCCTATGGGTTTGGAGGCTGTTCTGGAACTAGCTCTTGTAGACCAGACTGGTCTCGAACACACAGAGATCCGCCTGAGTGCTGGTATTAAAGGTGTTTGCCACCACCGCCTGGCTGACTAGTACCATTTTAAAAAGCCCAGTGTACACTAGGAAAGGTAGTTTGAAGCAACTCAGGAAAATACAAGATCCTGCTCATCCCAAGCTAAACCTCTGTGTTCAGCCATCAAGACACTGAAGATGCCACTGTGGTCCAAAAAGGGCCTGGATAAACTCAAGACACTTCCAGACCTTGACATCATCCTATTGATACTAGTGTTGCAGGCATACAAAACATAAGAATTGTGGAACCACTTCCACTGGGATTTTAAAGAGCTCTTAGGAGGTTGGAATTCCTGCAAATAGTCTAAGAGTATGATGCATGAAGCCGTGAGAGTCAAGACAATGCTATGGCACATCTCTATCTCTATCTATCTATCTATCTATCTATCTATCTATCTATCTAGTTTTTCGAGACAGGGTTTCTCTGTAGCTTTGGAGGCTGTCCTAGAACTAGCTCTTGTGGACCAGGCTGGCCTTGAACTCACAGAGATCTGACTGCATCTTCCTCCCAAGTGCTGGGATTAAAGGTGTGCACCACCACCACCCTGCCACTATGGTTTATATATATATATTGTTTTTTGTTGTTTTTTTTTAATCATGTATACAGTGTTCTGCCTACATGTATGCCTGCAAGCCAGAAGAGGGCACCAGATCTCATTACAGATGGCTGTGAGCCACCATGTGGTTGCTGGGAATTGAACTCAGGACCTCTGGAAGAGCAGACAGTGCTCTTAACCACTGAGCCATCTCTCCAGCCCTATGGCTTATATTTAAAAACAAAATATTTACTCTCTCTCTCTCTCTCTCTCTCTCTCTCTCTCTCTCTCT